ATAGGGTTGGTAGCTTTTCTGTGACGGACAAAATTAGAGAAAGTCGACTTAGATGGTTTGGTCACATTAAACGTCGACCATCTGATGATCCGATTAGGAGAGTAGATGTTTTAGATTCGACTTGTGTTAAGAAAGGCAGAGGTAGACCTAGGAAAATTTGGGCTTATCGTATTAAAAATGATCTTAATTTACTAGAACTAAATAAAAATATGACACTATATAGGACGCAATGGAGAAAAATGATTCATGTAGCCGACCCCACGTAATGGGATTAAGGCTTTGTTGTTGTTGTTGTTGTTGTTGTATGAAGATCAATAGAAATTATTTTTCCGCTTTTTAAAGTCAAATTTACATTTCTTTAAGTTTATGTACCTCCTCACTCAACGACTATGACATTTTACAAATATGCAATCTATGTTTAGAGTCTGAAAATATTTGTGATAAGCTTCCTGGTGCAACAATCTAAGATTGAATGTTTGATTTAACCATATAATTACATTTTTTTTTTTCTCTATAAATAACTTATCTTAAAGGATTAGTAACTACTAACTTCTAACTCTAACTCCAACCATCTCGTTGTCTCGTTGTTTTTTTTTTTTCCTACTTCTAAGGCCTGCATCCTTTCAATTTTGCAAAGACATTTTATTTTTTTCAGCTTAAAGAATGAGCTATTTCAAGGTGATATGCCAATATCAAATCAAGAACAGCTTCTCACAACACATTTCTAACCCTTATATCATACCCACCATGAATCATCTCATAACTCTTCCTACTAGAACTCACATTTAACTCAACACACACTCTTCATATCTTCCTCAAATATACATTCTAACAATTTATATATAGCTTCAAAAAATTAATTTTTAAATCATCTTCTAATAAAACTTGAGGAGCATAAATAATTAACATAGTTAATGCATCCCATCCATAATTAACTTAAAACTATCATCTAGCATTAACTATGTTGTTTTCCTTCTTAATTTATCTTTAAACTTTATGGCACAATCATCATGCCAAATTCTTGTTGTTTGCCTTCCCAATATTATAGCATTTTTCAAAATCCTAAGATTTTTCATCCACACATTTAGTTCCATGCAAACATGAGTTATTAATTGTTCTTCTAGTCACATTAAGCTCGTTAATTATTAAATACTTTCACTATAATATTTAAATTTGATATAGCATATCTAACATCAAATTTTAGACCCAGCCAACCCTGGCATATTTTTTCACCAAAATTATTTGAAGTAAAGCTTCATCATTTGTAGGTGGCTTTAGAGCTAACACTTGCTTATAATTCTCACAATTAAGGATCACCTATAATTCATATAGCAAATCATCAAAATGAAGCCAAAAATCCACTTACAAGAGTCCAAGCAAGAGCTCAAGAGAAAGTGACCAATTAAGAGCTCATTCAAGGCCCATCACAACAGCCATGACGAGAAGAAAATTATTTGAATTTGTATTTTATTATTTATATTTCAATTTCAGTTTTTATTATGTTTGAATTTTTCTAATTTGTAGACTTTTATGGCTGGTCATAAAAAAAATAATAATAAATTACGAAAGTACTTAGCACATTCCTTCATTAATGGCCACCTACCACCCTTCAAAAGTTCCTCCTCTTTTTTTTGACTTTTTATCATTGTAATACCTATAAATAGAGCTAATATGTAATGTTTTGGATCAGTTGTTGAATGAAATATTTGAGTGCAAACTTTCTTTCTTGTTACTTGGTACTTTGTGGCTTCAAGTGTTGTCTTTTCTTTGGTGAGATTACGTATTTATCTTTGCTTTTTTTTATGTTATTCATTAATCCTCCATCGTACTTGCTTTTAAACTCTTCACCACTTTTCATCCACGTCCGAAGCCTCTTATAATATCAATAAACCAACAATCAAAGCCTCGCAACCATTCTAAACCCCTCTTCATAAACCTTAGCCAATTAAGAACATATTAATACCTAATCTTGTTCCCTAACCTTAAACACCATTGTAAACCCATCCAAAACCACCCATCTACTCCATATCATAATTACAAATCCTAAGCAAACTATCAATAATCATTTCTAGCTATTTGCTCATTCTTAAGGCACTTTTCTGAAAAGATATTTCAAATCAGCCCAAACTAGCCTAATTTAGACTAGTTTTAGAATTTTAGCCACCATTCCCTCATAAATCTTTTAACATTCCACCAAAACCTGTAGATCACATCTTTAAACATAAAACCCAATATCAATAACAAATTTTAGTACTTCATCTCATCAAAAAGCCACCCACCTCCATCAATAATCGGCATCAAAGTAAATCTATGCCAAAATCAAACTAGGATGTGGCTTGTCACTTGTAGTGAACATAATAAAATTATCAACGTTCAAATTTGAATTCATCCAATAGATTAGGAATCTAGAAGAAAATGTGGATAGATTTAAAAAAAAAAAAAAACTTTAGTGCCAATTAAGTTGGGGGTATACAGCTAAATATAGGATACAGTGAAGCAGATTAGGCAAATGAAAGTCTAGAATGAACATGGATAAAACCTTGCTTTACAAGAAATAAAGAAATAAACATATTTCAGTGTATGCATTTGTACGTTGAAAATGCAATGCTCTAAGGATCATGGTGCTTGGCACTTCTTTCATAAGTTAAGTAGCATCTATGATTTAAAATCATGTGGAATAAAAAAATACTGTGTCGCAAATGCTCTATCATAGCATTGTCAAATGAAAACATTAACTTGAATATAAATGAAATATATCTTAATTGAGTATACAATATTGTTTTACCTCCAGGCACAGCAAAGCAAAGCACCATAATAGCTTTTTCCACCAAAAATTAAGTGCTCTTTGTGATAATCAAATACTCTCAAATAGCCTACAAGAAACAATCCATCTCCAAAGAATATAAACGATAGAGGGAAAAGCAATAATAATAATAAGGAAACTATTTATCAATTTAAGGTCATACCATCTCTACCGACAGTTGCTAAATATGTACCATCTGTTGAGAATGCAATATTGTTTATGAGCCCCTGAGAAATATGCCACCTAATAATCGGGTTGCACTGCAACAAAAACAGTAAATATCAAGTCAACAAAGGCAAATTTCAAATGTTTGTACCAAAAGAATAACTTCAAACAGAAGCCAAAAAGGCATAAAGTAACATCTCAAGTGGTTCTAGAGATTCATTAGAAAGATGGACTAAGAGTAGCGGTTTAAGTTGCCCCGAATGTGATTTGGAATCCCTAAACTTGAGTCTCAAAAACATTATTCTTATAAATACTTACATTAATATAGTGTACAACAACCCCTCCCTAAACACTATATATTGGCAAGAACTCCATATATTGAGTAAACTACAATTATACTCTTTAGAGCAATGACGTGTGATGAAAAGTGTCAGATATGACTAGCACGTTAACTTCAATCCTCCACATTTAGATTAGGATGTTTGCAGATGCACAGCCTTCACCCCACTATCTTTTAAAACTAATTCAAAACCTTTGTTTTATATATATGTACGTACGTGTGTGTGTGTGTGTTATATGGGAATTAGTGATTAAAATTATGAAAAGTCTCAATAGTACTATGCGATAAAGGATTATCACTTAAGGATAAATTAATAAAACTAGCATTGCAAGGATCAGAGTGTTGGCAACAAAAAGTCATTTAAATATAAATTTAACATGGCAAAAATGCAAATGCTAAGACAGATGTGTAAAAAAACAAGGAAGAATGAAAAAAATAAAGGATATTGAAGTGATTTTATTGAAGATAATAAAATATAGAATTAGGATGTTTGAACAACTAAAATGAATGATGCAAAATACACCCATCCAAAGATAAATAAAATTAGTTTCAAAGTATTAGGAAGGAGGACGGATAGATCAAATATAAAATAGATATAAAATCAAAATGATTAGTAAAAAAATTGATTCAACAGCGTATACGACTCAATACGAAGAACTGAAAAAAGTTTATTCATAAAGCCAACCACAAATAGTTGGTATAAAGCTAATAATGATGATGATCATGTCTCAATTTATATTTGCTAGGCCTAGATAATCTTATCTTATTGAGAAATTCAATTTAGTTTTTGCTTGACATTTTGTATCATTTCACTTCTCGATTCCTCTTAATAAAAATGTGTAATCTTTATATGGAACAAAACCACATAGCTCACCGCAATCAGCCCTAACACAATTAATAATGGCTTCCTTTTTGAATCATTTTTCATAATTCAATCCTTGAGGAATAATTTATTGCTAATCTCAGCTTAAACTTCAGTTTTTGAATGCCGATATGCAAGCTTTGGTCTTCTTCTTCCCACCTATGCCTTCATTGCTGGGAAAAAAAATATCACTTGCAAATGCCTTTTTGTTTGCCAAATTATAGATTTTTTTAGATAATATAATCAATTTTTGAGAATTTTATGAACTGCAACCAGCAACTATTTAAAAAAAAGAAAATCAAATTATGAAAGCTAAAATATAAATATTATCAAAAAAATATGAGCAAATATTTTTTTCTTAAAACTCCTAAAATTTGTATTAAAAGTTTTTTTTTTTTTAAATAAAGGACCTTGACCAACTTGTAATACCTCGTGATACCTGATTTTCTTAAACATCCTCACCCCTTGTTCCATTTTAACTACTGTGTACGTTCTCTTATCGTTGGAGTTGTAAATGGTATTTATTATCTTTGTTGGAATGAAAAAATACTATTTTTAGTTATATTTATTATTTTTAAATGTCATTAAGTGTTAGTAAATAATTTATCTTTCATATGTCGGTCAATAAAATATATAGGCTTTTCCTCTCATTTTTTTATGTAAATAAATCAAAAAAGGAAACCCTAACTCACTCTAAAGACTGAAACACATGCCCTCTCTCTTTCAAACACTATTATCATTATCATTATACTCTGCTTCTCTTACATGATTGCTACTTCCAGATACTCGTTAATTTTAGACATTTTTATGAGTCCTTCAATATGTGGTTGTAGAAACCAAATATCTCATCTTTAAGCCAGCAAACACACGCATTCAAGCGCTAGCCTCCTATTCAACATGAATTCAAATCCAATCTCTTTTTCCAACCTTTATTCATTTCTCTCTACATTAAAATAGCTTCTTAAGATCTTGTGTGAGCTTCTTGAGGCAATCATCCTTCCGCACATAGCAAATTTAGATGTCGTTTTTTATTCTTCAAAATCTAGGTCATGACTATAGAGAACATGACTTGCTCAAACTATTTGTCTAGGTTACCTTCTATTGAGTTGTTGATGCAAGAGCGTACCGAGACGTGTGGTACTGTAGCGGCTATAGCACCACGGACGTGTTACTGTAGCAAATACAATAACTGCGGAAATATCTCCTTCCTATTATCCTTCTTTCCTTTTTAGATTCCCACATATTCTCTCTCTATTCATTGACTACTTTTTCTACCGCCTTCCACTTCTATCATAATTTCAAATTCTTTCCTTTCCCATCACCCCTCCTTTACTCATTACCTATTATCCTACTTGCCTAGTATTTCTTTTTCCCCATTATTTATAGATATTATTTGTTGAAGGCAGAGAGGTTTTTGATGAATGGAGAACTCTAAGTTTTATCTTTAAGGCGTTCTAGCCCTACGAGGGGTTGTACCCAACGACGAGAAGGTGCTCCAGATGTAAATCGTCTGAGGTGGTGATCATCTCCAAGGGTCCAGGTGGTGCTCCAGTTGTAGTTCGACCATAACGAGACATTTATCCTTCCACAGCCCCCTCCGACTTCCAGCAACTGTCATCCATCTCTGCAACCACAACCTGCTACCCAACCCATCCCGAACTTGTTGTCCCATCTTCCAGTTGCCCACCTGCAGCTCCCACATCTCCCAAACTTCATCTCAGCACCCAATCGCCCCTTCTCAGCAATAGATCATTGCTGTCCAACCAATCCCTTCTTTATCAGCTACCATGCCGCCCCCTCTACAGCCTACCAGCCTGTTGTCCCGCCTCCCAAACCGATTGTCCGGTCGCCTAAATCTGTTGTCCGGTCGCCTAAATCTGTTGTCCAGCCGCCCAGAACATGCTAACCAGCCTACCAGCCATCTACCTACACTCTCCCAACCATCCAACCTCCCCTACCGCCTTCAACACTTCCGCCTTTCCCACTCGCCACAGTGCTGACACCACCAACGCCCTTGGAACTTCTCTTCCATTCCTAGCCCGAGACTAATTATTGTTGTTTATTTTGTTTACATGCATTGTCATTTATTTCATGTTCGCAAGTGTCTCGTTTGCACCCTTGTGAATTCAGTATAATAATTGTGTTTTTTTTTTCATGGTGTTTTAAGTTTCCTCCAGTATCATTTGGTATCAGAGTTAGCCCAACCCTAGTCCTATCTTAGGGTTTCCTAGCATCCGCTCCTATACAAGCCATCCTAACCAAATTTGTTTGCCCTAAAAACTTCGACAGATAAAATCGAATCTCCCCAAACCCGAGAGATTAACTCAAAAGTGTACGATACACACAGTACTATAGCTGTTGCAGTACCTCGAACGCGTTACTGTTGAAACTACAGTAACCACGAAAATATCTCTTTCCTATTATCTTTCTTTCATTTTTAGATTCCCACCTATTCTCTCCCTATTCATTGCCTACCTTTTCTACAACCTTCCACATTTATCCTGATTTCAAATTCTTTCCTTTCCAATCACTCTTTTATTCCTTGTCTATTCTTCTACTTGCCTAGTATTTCATTGTCCATCTCATTTATAGATGTTGTCCGTTGAAGGCAGCAAAAGTTTTGGATGAGTGGAGGATTCTGAGTTTCGTCTTTGAGGCGTTCTTCCCCTACAATGAGAATATGCTCCGGTTGTAACTCGTCTGCGGTGGTGACTGTCTCCAATGGTCTGGGTGGTGCTTTGATTGTAGCTCAACCCTACGAGACAATTATACTTCCATAGCCCCCTCTAACATCGCTTCCAGCAACTACCATCCATCTATGTGGCCACAACCTGCTGCCCAGCCCCTCCCGAACGTGTCTTCCGATCTCCCACCTACAACTCCTACATATCCCAGACTTCATCCCAACACCCAAACACCCCTTCTATGCAGCAGAACATTGATGTCCAGCCAGTCCCTTCCTTGCCAGTTGCCCTGCAATCCCCTCTACAGCCTTCCAGCCTGCTGTCCCGCCTCCCAAACTGATTGTCCAGCCACCCAAATCTGTTGTCCAGCAACCCAGACTTGCTTTCCAGCCTCCCGAAACTACTAACCAGCCTACCAGCCATCTACGTACACTCTCCCAACTAGGGCCATCCATTTAGCTTGTCGCACATGTGTTGCTCGTGTTCAGCTCGAATATATATTCATGAAATTAAATTTTATAAATTATAGTTAATTAAGTTCTTTTAAACAAAAAAATTATCATATTTTAAAAAAATTTAAATCCTACTTTAAAAAGTCAAATCATATAATATATAATAAATTAATAATAATAATATGTTAGTAATAGTTATGTACTTATATAACTTATAACTTATAAGAATTATATTTTTATATAATATATATTATACTACTAAATTTATAATATAAATACTTTACATCTATCTCTTGACCCTAAATCGCGAAACGCGTTCAATTCCCTTTCCCCTCTCCTCTAATCCTCTCGAAAGACCTAGAGAAAACTTCGACCGCATCTATTCTTTCCTTCTCTCAAAACCGCCAAGTTTAAGAGGTTGTCGCTCGATATTCTTGTTTGGTTTGCGTTCAATCCCTGCTTCTATTTGTCTTCAAAGTTGGCCCGACTACTCTATTCTTGCTTGGAAGGCTGTCGAGGTGTTATCTTTGAGTATTTTTTCTGAGTCTCTAATGTTTCATATTTATCCTCAGGTTTGCTTCTTAGCTTAAATTTTCTTAGATTTATTTTAGATCTATTGAGATTTTTTTTATTGAAATCTAGGTTTTGATAGTGAAATGTTACTAGTCGGCATTGCCTCTACTTCTATTTTTTAGGGCTTTGAGAGCTCAAATAAGAGTTTTGGAAGGGTTTGTTGTGTTGTTACATGTGATTCGGT